GGGGACACAATGATAGGGGACACAATGATAGGGGACACAATGATAGGGGACACAATGATAGGGGACACAATGATAGGGGACACAATGATAGGTGACACAATGATAGGGGACACAATGATAGGGGACACAATGATAGGTGACACAATGATAGGGGACACTTTAGCATGTGTCCCAGCAGTCCCAGGCCGCGCTGGCGATAAAATATGTATAATATAATGACGATAACGATAATAATAATGATACTATCACTTATACCAATATTCTGGTAATAACAACAATAATAAAAATAAAAAGGAGGAGGGAGGACTCGTGATGAAATATGAATTATTGGTGATGAAATGAAATCAACATCATGAGTATATTTAGAATAATCATTATTATCGTCATCATTTCATACAACAATCACCATCTTATCTTCTTATCAAATACCAATCATCATCATATCATCATATCATACAACAATCATCATAATATCATCATAGCATATAACAATCATCATAATATCATCATAACATACAACAATCATCATAATATCATCATATCATACAACAATCATCATAATATCATCATAACATATAACAATCATCATCATATCATCAGAACATATAACAATCATCATAATATCATCATAACATAACAATCATCATAATATCATCATAACATAACAATCATCATAATATCATCATAACATAACAATCATCAAAATATCATCATAACATATAACAANAAAAAAAACAAATTCAGCCTTGACGGTAGAAATATCATTGCCGAAAAAACAGCTGTTACTTCCATGAATTTTTATTAAATGTATATATATCAAATGCATAAATAAAACTTTTTTCAAAAAATTTTACGGCTGATAGAATCAGACGTTCAAAGAATTATTCTCAAATTAAGTCAGAAGTATATACCACCAAAGGAAATGTTCTGTTTGAATAATCTGATATAAACAAATCGATCACCGACATTTGTTTTTTTAAGTCGGATGCTCGATTAACAAAACACTACACATGCCAAAGCAGCTCTCAGGCCGCTAGACCGAGATCTTGTCACACACACACCGTCTATTATTTCACTTGAACTTGAAGCGCTGGAAAATATTTCCTGTTTTATTTCAATTCTCGGAGGTGCTAAAGTTTCTAATTCAGTTAGTGAAGTGCCTCATCGCCTCTTATTTCACTCCCTCACCGGGTGCTTGAAACACTGCAGAATTCACAAGTTTTACTTCATTTATTTGAGTCATCAAAGTTTATAATTTCATTACTCAAACGCTTTCAATTCCCGATTGCATCTCATTAGTAAGCTGGTACATTTTCTCACCGGAGATTTACTGATAGCATCTGATGTATTCTTCGAAGTCAATTATATTATTTTCGCAAGATATTATATTATATTATATTATATTATATTATATTATATTATATTATATTATATTATATTATATTATATTATATTATAATATATTATATTACATTATTTTATATTATATTATATTATCATCACACGTACTTGTCACACGTACTCACCACACACATTCACTAAAGGCAACGGCAGACTCAGACTGGAATTTACCAGGTTGGAATTTAGTAGCAAAGTAATAACTTTGTAATTGTCTGAGTTAGTTAAGAATAATTCCAGCTTGATGTGTGAAGTCGGGAGTTGATGCGTTTTATATTGTAATTATATTATAGTGCCTCAAGTTCACTATAAAGAATTGATCAATTTCCGCCCACACCGCAGGAAAATCCTCTTCAAATCAAATGATTCATCACTGAGATCATCGAATCTAACTGATTTGGTTGAATTTCTAGAAATTATTTCTAGAAATTTCGGCTTTCTAGAAATTATTTATTTTCTACTGAACGACTCTCCATACTTCAAATTGAACGTCAACAGCATCAGCATACGCTGGCCACCTTCATCTCTCCATTCATTCCCATTCCAAAAAGACAGGAGAGAAAAAAAAGTAAATTCCGAAATCAAGTACTTACCAGCCAAAAAAACATTGTTAAATGATAAAGCAACCTATCACTGTTCTCTTATACTTCGGTTGCACAACCACTGAACTCTCCACAGGACGAAGCATGCCAAGAATGCTAAGAACTGGAGCTAGTATCACTTAACACCGAACGACATACATCCACTCATCACGATGGCCGCGGCCTCACTGGTGGTGCTGCACCTTCTTGCCGCCACCTGCCGAACCGTCACCTGAAACTTTTGTCATGTGCAAGAAATTGGCCAGCACGACCTAGTAGCGGCAGGTGAAACATAACAGGAGTAAAACGCTTCCGCTGACCTTTGCATTTTTTGTATTGATATTACTCATGAACAGTGATGCAAATAAATATGTAGGTAAGTTAAAACGTCATTAACATTTTGATATATGTTCCCATAATAACTCAAAAGTCATGATTTGATACATGTATGTTTGTTTGTTGTTAACCTAACACGTCTGAAATGTAGGGGAGGGGTTATTACCGGTGGGTTATTAGGGCGCGTATCCAGGATAATTCCTGGACCTGAAAATGTATTCATAAAGATAAATAATAAGATTTTGCGAACCGGAAAGAAAGGATTGAATCAAAATATAAAATGTTATTTCAATTCCGTCTTATCTTCCGTCCGTAAGGCCAGTCTAGTCAAGAAAAGTGCAAGAATCGGACATCGGACGTCTCGGACAAAAACGCGGCCTCTCTCACGGCCGGTCTCGCGGCCGTGATTCCAAATTCAGTGAGCGTGGAATATCTCGCAAAATACTGAACGTAGCTTGATGAAACTTGGTACACATAATCATTAGAGCCTAACGGTGATGTTTAGCTCGTGACAATTTTTCAAAAATCGCCTTAAGCTAAACATCACCGTTAGGCTCTAATGATTATGTGTATCAAGTTTCATCAAGCTACGTTCAGTATTTTGCGAGATATTCCACGCTCACTGAATTTGGAATCACGGCCGCGAGACCGGCCGTGAGAGAGGCCGCGTTTTTGTCCGAGACGTAAGAATTCGGCGACAGGCCTATCCAGGCCTATTTATTAAATGCCGAAGATACTATACTACTATACTATACTAATTGGTAGATTTATTTTTTAATATGCTTAGTATCATATACCATATTGTAAAACGAAAGAAAAAATGGAAATAAAATCATTTTTTGAAGAGGTCTTCATTTAACTGGAATATATAAGTTATACTTATACGATTAGTGGGATAAGTAAATACATGAGTTACGGGGTTGAGAACCAGTAATTCCAGGATTTACTCAATTTTTACTGAGCTCGGGGAACGCCGGGGCAATCAACTCGTAATGAATTTTGGCAAAATAATCCAATGATGACTCACTTTTTATCTTCTTATTCCAGAGAATGTTGAAATTTTAAAAAGTGAAACTTGCTTCAGCTTGTTCATGTTTCAAGTTTTTTGTTTCAAATATTTTTTCCGTAACTGCAGACCACAATCACATTACATCGACTTGTCCTGAAAAAGTTACGGTTACTGTGATACTGTCTGCCGTGTCTGGGGGAGAGAGTCAGTTGCGTTGGAAGCGAAAGCACGTGTTTGAATTGCGTTCCGTCAAATAACCGGTTAATTTTGCAACTTAAGTTCGTACACCACTTGAAGTTAAAATTATAAAATCATTGTGTAATTCACCATAAATTCATTTTATTTTCGTTAGAAAAACCCAACTGGCTTTCTCCCACAAAGGTTTGCCAGTCCTTTTTTTTTTCTTTTTTTCCTCCTTTCCTTTCTTCTACTTTTGTTATTATTTATTTATTTGTTATTTCTTTTTCCTCTCTTTTCATTGTTGTTATACTTAATTGCATTTAAAAGAACTGCATCTAGAGGCCTAGACGCTTCCTGCTATCAGTGCTATGGCAGATGAAGCAAGGCTGGCCTCTTCATCCATTAACTTGAGCAGTTCCTGTGATGCTGGACTCGGACATCAGTCTGCAATCTGCATGCCTCAGGGATTCTTTTACAAATATTCCTTCTGACATTGATCTTGCCAGCAATGATAAAATGACAGTTGCTGAGTTGCAGGCTGCAAAAAGCGAGCACGAGAAGGTGATATCATAGGCATGGTGTCATTCTATAGTAATTATATAAGAACATGAGCTTTAGGCTAATTGCACCGCAACGAAAATGTCGGACCGCCGCAACACGTGTCACACCTCACCTCACGACGATGTGTTCATGACTGTCGGAATCCAAATGTAAACATAGCCAGCTGATTAGCAGAGCGAGCGCTGATTGGTCACCACTCAGCAGCCAACTGCCTTCTGTATTTGAACTGTCAGGTTCCCTGAGACCAGGGACGAATGTCATTTTTTCGCAATAAATTAAAGAAAATGCATACATATGTATTCATACATAGCTTAAAAAATCGAGAAAAAAATAACAAAAATGATGATAACAAATTTACCCTACTTTACGCCTGAAATAAGTCAAAATTCTCAAAAAATCATAATAAGGAAATACATGGTAATATCTTTTACTAAATAGTGCATAGTAATACTGATGAAGACATTGGTACAATGCTAAATATATGCGTGCCTACTTGCTAATACCAAGTAGTAGCAACTAGTGCATCGGCAGTCATTTTTATTGGTATATTTGAATACATTTGTACGCGTTAAAAAGCAATAGTACGTTCAAATTTTAAATTAAATTTGATTCAAAGACCAACCAATATTCGGAAGTCGGAACGCAAGCTTAAGTCAGTTAGTCCTTAAAAAAACACAGAAAACTGGATACACTTTAAATTCCTAAAACTTTCGTCTATTATATTATTTATCCAAAAAATGTCATGAAATTAAGCTAAAATAATATAAACGATCATTTTTAGTAATTTTCGTGCAAAATAATGACGCACATGAAAAGAAGTTTAGGTAGGTTATGTATAGACTATTCGAGCTGAAGTCGAAGCCAGTAAATGTATTCGATTCCAAGTAAACCTAGATCATCAAAAAAAATTACGGAAAATTATTCCTAAAGTTGTATTATTAAAATGCTCTTTTGAGGGATTAATTGCTCAATTAAAAAGATGTACATTTTTTCATATAAATAAGTAAGTTATATTCGAATTTAATATCATTAAATTTCGCTCAACACAACAAGCTCAAGCCGTGACAGAGAGTTTGAATAAGATAAGGAGTTCTCGGCTTCCCGCTTTCCTGTCGACATCCATCATACGTTAAACAGCCTTAGAGCCTAGAGGCAGTGT